CCATCCATCCATCCATCCATCTATCTATCTATCTATCTATCTATCTATCTATCTATCTATCTATCTATCTATCTATCATCTATCTATCTGGGTGAAATGAGGACGCAGATTGTTGGGGGCGATATGCTGACTCTGTAAACCACTTAGAGAGGGCTGAAAGCCCTATGAAGCGGTATATGTCTAACTGCTATTGCTCGCTCTATCTATCTATCTATCTATCTATCTATCTATCTATCTATCTATCTCTATCTATCTCTATCTGTCTGTCTGTCTGTCTATCTATCTATCATCCATCCATCCATCCATCCATCCATCCATCCATCCATCTATCTATCTATCTATCTATCTATCTATCTATCTATCTATCTATCTATCATCTATCTATCTGGGTGAAATGAGGACCCAGATTGTTGGGGGCGATATGCTGACTCTGTAAACCACTTAGAGAGGGCTGAAAGCCCTATGAAGTGGTATATAAGTCTAACTGCTATTGCTATTGTTATCCTTTAGCAAGGTGGGGCTAAAACATTCACCTGGGACACAGAAATCAAGACTCCAGTTTAGTTTAGAAATAACAGGCGAAATCAAATAAAAGGTAAAATTAAGTAATCAGTGAGCTATGGCACTATTTTTTAAAAAGTCAGACACTGATCTCAAATAATGACAAGTTGTTCCTTATAACTGATTAGAGTTTTTATTTCCAGGATCACTAAATAAGATTTTTTTCAAATCCTGAGATGAATTTCATTTTTAAAAAATGTTTAAAAATCTTATCACAATAAGTCTAAAACTAGCACTCTGATGCCAGACTATAAAGGATCCAATGCAGACAGCATTTACCCTTTAAACATTTAAGAGACTAGGCATACAATACTAATCACCATAAGAAGCTTATTTGTAAAGCTGTTTGATGGAAAAAGAGATAGATAATAGAGAACTCTTTGTCCCACAGAACAGAAAACTGCACATTACACTCTGGAAGGCTTAATGATAATTATTTAAGTGAAATATATAAAAGGAGAAAGGTGTAAGATAATAGGTGTCTCTTTTTCATACATGCTTTTTCAGGTTATTTGTTCCAGGTTATTTGCGGTAATTTTATGCAATGAAAATATGCTGGGGATTCATTTGACCATCATGCATGCCTTTTCTATGAGATTTCTGGGAGTGGCGGTAATTGTGCCCACTTTGATATTCCTTTCAGATACCTGTCCCACACTGAACTGGCCCCACTCAGAGCTCCCTTGATCCCTATGGAGCACTGCACCACTCGCTTCTTTGAGACATGTGATCTAGACAACGACAAATACATTGCTCTGGAGGAATGGGCCAACTGCTTTGGCATTAAGGAAAGTAAGTACCACAAATCTGTATTAGCTAATTGGAATTAGCTGAAGCTCTTAAAGACCATTTTTCTTCGTTTGTATCCCAGCTTTCCTTCAAGAAATTCAGAATACCGTATATATAATTGGCTTATAAAGGCAGTCCTCATTTAGCAACTGACTTCTCCAATGATTGTTCGCAGTTATGACAGTGATGAAAAACTATCTTTGCAACCAGCCCTCATATTTATGGCCTTCACAGGTCTGTAAAACAAAGGAAAGCTGAAGTAAGATCATAAGCAAAGTCACGGTTTTACTTACCAACCCCTTTGCTTAATGACCAAGCTGCCGTTCCCAGTTCTGGTTGTTAAATGAGACTACCTGTAACCATATCCAGGAGCTTCCTTAGCCAAAACTGTTTTAACTTTAATAGTAAAACTGAGTCATATACTGTATGCCTTTAGAATTTCTAAAGGCTCAACATTTTTTTACAAATCATTTCTTTGCATTCTAACTAGCCAAGAATTCCTATTCCTCAGTATGGCTCTAAAAACCTCTTTCTAAAACAGCAGGCAATTAACCAATAGGTTATAACAGTATTCTCCAAGTTAATATCCTTCAGATATTAAAACTTTACAATTCAGAACACCGTGAGCAGGAATTCTGAGAGCAGTAACCATTGCATCTGGTTGGTACCAGTTTAGAAAAGACTGTTCTTTAGATAATAAATCTAAAATCTAAATCCTAGGAGAAGTGATTGAATCACATAAATGTTGTGTAAGACATTGACAGCAAGCATTTATCTTATGTGATGTCTTTCTTTCTTTTTTTACAGACGACATTGACAAGGATCTTGTCATCTAAATTTAGCAGCTTCTTCATCTGTTATGCACAAGTTGCGTTCTCCCATTTTAACAAGTTGAAGAGTGTTTTTCTTTATTTTATCGGGGACAAGGTGCTAATATAGGTCTAAACATATACATTAACGGTGCTAAAAAAAAGGAGACAGAAAGTTGATAGTAGCTTAATCTATACCACTAGATCACTTTGCTCACACCCTCATTGTGCATCTCTGTTGACCTTTTAATTTGTTGATACCAGTACAGTAATTAAACAAAAAATCTGTTCCAATTTTCAACTATTTAAGTTGACTCTACTTGATAGACTCAAGACTATTAATCCCCTAATTTCAAAGAAAGGCAAGAAAGAAAGATAAACCAAAAAATGTGTGGAGAGACTGGCTTTACAAAGTCAAGAGTTGCAAATGTTTTATGAAAGTTTAAGAAACTTGGATTTTATATGATAGTGCAGTGGGAATGGCAGGGGAGGAGATGGGACAGGACTGAAAAGTCAGAAAGGAGAATTTATAAATTTGACAGTTCTTGAATGTAACAGTAATTGGGCACAAACTCAAAATAACATAAGCAGAAAAAAACCTGAAGTGTTGGAAAGTTTCAGATCTTGTAACCCACTCATCCTCCCACCCTTTACAAATAAAAAGTTAAAAACGCTTCTGCTTCACAGCTACTCAGTGACTGTATTGCTTTTTGCTGTGTTTCTATGTCTTAAAAGTTAAATTTGGTGCTTATCAAAAATTGGTTGTGGCTGTTTTTACTGGATCTTTCTCTTTTGGTGATTTATTTGTAACTGATACACATTCTGACACAACAAATCACATGCCTCTGATTATTATATCCTCTCTGTGTCCCTGTTCATTTTTTCAGCCGGTAATTTCAATTCTGCCCTTCAAGATAAAACTTATGTGATATAGTCTAAAAAGTGTTCAAATGTTTGAGTTTGCTTACTCAACTACTAGTTAGTGATTGGTAACAGGGATTCTGTTTACAAATTGTATCAATTCATTCTTTATATAATCATATTTATTAAATAAACCACAATTTATAAACTAGGATATCTAAGTTCACAAAGAACCACAAGTCAAAAGTGAACAAATTATGATTTGATATGATGTTTTAACCCAGCCATTTGATAGGTGTGTTTCCATATAGGAGTGTGACACAGGAGCCATAATTGACACTGATCATTTGATAGTGCTGAATGAAATTGGTTTTGCTAAGATTCAAATACTTAAGATATATCTAAAGATTTGTGTTAATTTTTATATTGCATGACACCTAGAAATTAAAATTCCATGAGTAGCTAGAACTTCAAATACAGGTGTTTTTAAATCTTTTACTCAGGGTGATTCTTTGAGTGAAATATAAATAAGTATAAAATAAATTCAGACTAATGCCTTAAGAAGATGTTGTATATCCATTTGTCTGAANAAGCCCTATGAAGCGGTATGTAAGTCTAACTGCTATTGCTATTGCTATTGTAGGTGACTAAATGGAACTCTTAAAATATCTTTCAAAAGTTCAGGCTGGCTCAGAATACTGAAAATAATGTCTGGAGAAATTGAGAGGATATTTATCTACAATGCAGATGTTATGGAGCATCATTGACATGGATAAAACAGTTGACCAGTGTGGCCATTAAATAGTGCATCTGTGCAATGTGTTGGGGAAGGGAAGCGGTGAATTGGAAGGGTGATAGAAGGTAGAAGAAATGTTCCAACAGGAGGGAAAAGCATTGTGCTGCACATCACAATGTCAATAAGATTAACTGTGGAGGAAGGGGATGTAATTGGAGGCACAAAGCAGCATCTCTGTCCTGTATCGCAGAAATTCATAGCTGGTGTCTTAATAGCTTTTCTGCCATTTATTAGTTGGGATCAATGTGTTCACTGCTGAATATAATAGCTCTTTATTTTTAATAAATTGTGTCTGGACTGATGGGACTCTGGTTGCATTTCAGTCATTCCTGCCTGTCTTGATACTGAGCTGACTGAATTCCCTCTGCGTATGCGCGACTGGCTGAAGAATGTGCTGGTTACCCTGTACGAGCGGGATGAGGATAACAACATGCTGAATGAGAAGCAGAAACTCAAGGTGGGCAAGAGACACACCTAAGCAAAGCCCCATAGTTTAGGAAGCCTCTATTACAGAGTTAATATTCCCCACTGTATTTTCCTGACTAGGTGAAGAAGATCCATGAGAATGAGAAGCGCCTGGAGGCTGGAGAACACCCAGTAGAACTCCTTGCCCGTGACTTTGAGAAAAACTACAACATGTACATCTTCCCTGTGCATTGGCAATTTGGACAGCTAGACCAACATCCTGCTGATGGGTATATACTGCTATTCCTAGCTTTTGAGAAACTTGGCATAGATAAATCCCATTACCTCATGAATAAAATTAGACCTTGGTTACTAGTGGTTAGAGCCGAGGTGGCACAGTGGTTAGAGTGCAGTACTGCAGGCTACTTCAGCTGACTGTTAGTTGCAGTCCAGCAGATCAAATCTCACCGGCTCAAGGTTGACTCAGCCTTCCATCCTTCCGAGGTGGGTAAAATGAGGACCCAGATTGTTGGGGGCGATATGCT